GAAAGGATAGAAAACCTTATTATATTCCTCATTGAACCCAGGCCATAAAAACGGTGTGGACAGTGATATGATATCCCTCATATCTTAGTGATCTCATCCAGATTTATGTTCCATCTAGATCACTAAGATCAGGCGATCAGTATCTTTTAAGAATTCCTAGAAAAGGAGATAAGAAATTATCTGAAAAGATCGTTTGCCCACCTTGCTCCATCAGTTTGGAACTCTCTTCCTCTACCTTAGAGACATACAACATCGAATCTGAGTCTAAGTTTAAAACATCTTTAAAGACACGTTTAATGATATCATTTTTATGTCAGTAAATTCATGTTCAGTACAATGTTATGTCAATGACTATGTATCCACTTATGTATTTTGCGAATTGCATTGTGTATATTATTTTATTATGTACGGTATTTGTATGTGCTCATTTCGTAACGACGTGTAAGCGTGCACGTATGATAAGCAAGTAGATGTGTGTGTGTGTGTGTGTGTGTGTGTGTGTGTGTGTGTGTGTGTGTGTGTGTTTGTGTTTGTGTTTGTGTGTGTGTGGGGGGGTGCCCGCGCGCGTGTGTTTTGAGTGCATGTGTGTGCACATGTGTACATGTAATGTGTGCGTGAGTATGCCCACTTTTCTCCCGAAAACACGAGTTAACCACATTTTATTGCAAACTTTTTTTTCTTGAACACCACATACATCTGTTACAAATCAAAGCGGAATATTTTAAATTAGCCATGGATCTACACTTTGATTATCCCCTGGGACTTCAGTGAAGTGCGGACAAAACAGTTAGCTGACGTCAAGATGCTATCCACTCAAAAGCCCACACAGCCAAATACGTGAAATTTCACACTCGCTCGTGATCACCTACTCCACTCGTCCATCCCTCGGTCAACGCCTTGTAACTGTCTACTGTTTATAGAGTAGTCGTTGCCCCCTGTCCATCCCCAACCCGATGTGAATAATTATTAATTCGTTGACAACGAGCTACGATTTTTTTCTGACCATAGATTAACTCCATATGATCCTGACGCTAAGGACAAGAATGGCTGATAATTAAGGCTGATGGAAAAGAGAGACAGATGGTATAGCTGCATAGCTGGGAGGAAGGGGGGGGGGGCGTATATAACATTTCTATGCAAACTGTGACTTGTGTTTTATTTGCATTACCGGTATGTCTTCAAATGATTGACGGGGGCTCTCGTGGCCTAGAGGTTAAGGTGTTGGCCTCTCATTCAAAGGTCCCGGGTTCGA